TGGAATTAGAAATCTGTACTCTTGCTTTTCATCAGGAGTAACACAAATTCCAAACTAGTTATTTCAAAATAATGGCAGTGTGGACACTCCGGGACTGCTATTTCGAACTAATTACTCCTCAGACTAATTCAAACTAATTACTCCCCAGTGCTTCAGCTCCAAGTCCAAGGTAGCGTGTCCACATTAACAGAGCCTGCCTCGGACTACTTTCGATGCTTCCCCATAGTGAGGAAACACTAGTTTGAATTTGTTAAATCAGGAGTTCTTAAGTCAATTTAGTAATTTCTAAAGAGTTTTCCTAGTGTAGACATAACCTGAGAGACTTAGGCCATGTTAGGATGCTAGATGTTAGAAAAATCTTTCTCATTATATGGCTAAAGATCTGAAATAGGGCTTACAAGAAAAGTTGTAGACGCCCCATCACTGGAGGTTTTTAAGGTTGGACAAACACCTGTGAAGTAGGGGTATGAACGACAAGTCGACTACCCGATAAACAAATGCTTATCAGATAGTCAACAGGCTAGTTGACTAATCCCCCACCCTTGCTGCCTCTATTAGAAAGAGGCAGCAAGGGGGAAAAGAGATGGGATACTTCAAAGCAGCAGTGCCATATGGAGACTGGGGCCAGACTCCGGGCTCTATGTGGCTCTGTCTCTTTGAAACACTGCATGCAGTCTGGGGCCAGCTTTTTCAAGTGTATATTTACAGAGAGCAGTGGAAGCTTGCATATGCATCTGAAATAAAATACACATGCACAAGTGCAATGCTTGATGTCTTATATATGTGTGCATTTGAAATCCCCTGGAGATGTGTGCACTTTTCTGTGTAAGATCTTTTGAAAATTTGGACCATAATTTGTATTGGTTGTAACACTGAATATGATCCAAAAGTTTCACAATAAATTGTCCATTGAATTCAGAGGGAGGCTGTACTTTAGTAATTCTTTATTGGTTAAATGGAGCTTTTCTATAACATCTGGCTTTGCTCAAAGTTTCAACAGTAATTTTCCATTCAAACTAATGGTGCCTTCCTACTGAAACTGTACCGGTTAAAAAAAAAATCTGAGTTGTCTTATTTCATTCAAACTGAGGTGAATTCTGCATGCAGTTAGAACCCTATGACAGCTTCTACAAACTTTTTTTGGGAGGAGGAAGGGTCTTTTTACTCAGGGTTGGCGCAATATCTATTTCTATCTCCTACAGGCAAACTGGGAGAACCTACTTCCTTTAGCCTGGTCACATACAGGCAGTCCCTGGGTTACGTACAAGATAGGGACTGTAGGTTTGTTCTTAAGTTGAATTTGTATGCAAGTCGGAACTGGTACATATTGTAGGGGAAACTCTAGCCAAACATTTCCCCAGAGCTCAGTTTTAATCTCCCACACCTCACTTCCCTCAGTCCTTTATTCTCAAGCTGAGGTGTCTGCTGAGAAAAGCCGCTCTGCGTCTCCCTGGTCTGCTGGCAGGGGGGGGGCACTAGCTTCGCGTCTCCCTGGTCTGCTGGGGGGAAGCAGCTAGTGCGGGGTTGCCTCACCCCATTTGTAAGTAGGGATCCGATGTAAGTCGGATCCATGTAACCCGGGGACTGCCTGTACTCTTTAAAGTAACCATTATTCTATCAAGGTAGAGGCAATCAATCTTAACGATTTCTTGATTGATCCTAAAGCATATTACAAATAGGGTTTCTGAAATACATGACCAGTAGTGCAAGCGACTGCATGTACACACTAACGTCAGTTTATATAATAATATCAACCAGAATACATACATTTTACGTAGAGATTTCTAAGTGGTCACATATGTGATGCAGTCCCTCTCTGAGGCATGATTATGTCACTCATGATACATAGTAACTCATTTTTGGTGTTATTCTGAACAGTTCTGCTGGGGTGAGTTTAATTTTTTTCAAGTGCTGGTATGACAAGCATATTTTCCTATAATTGTGTATGAGGCATATGGGAAATTGATTGCGTCTTTCATTAGCTGCAATGTTCCTCAATAACTTGAGGTTTTTCATTGGCGTGATTTCCTTTGTGGCCATTCTAATCACAAATATTACAGAAGAGAAAAAGTGGGGGACCTAGGGAAACATTACACAGAATAGTAGTGAAAGATGCTGTCAGGACTGATCCCCACTGTGGCACTCCGAGTGCAGAAGGTGGTGGCCTGTAAAGACTAAATACCTTGCCACTACAGGCACTGGTTACAAAAACTTCCCCCAGGATCACAAATGCACAGATTTGGGTGGGGGAGGGGGGAAGGGGGTTGCTTCCACTATTAAGTGATTTTTAATAGTGGCAAACACTTGAATTCTCCTAAAACCGGGGGCAAACACTTGGGCTGTGTCTACACTGGCAAGTTATTCCGGAAAATCAGCCACTTTTCCGGAAAAACTTGCCAGCTGTCTACACTGGCCGCTTGAATTTCCGGAAAAGCACTGACCATCTAATGTAAAATCATCAGTGCTTTTCTGGAAAAACTATGCTGCTCCCGTTCAGGCAAAAGTCTTTTTCCGGAAAACTGTTCCGGAAAAGGGCCAGTGTAGACAGCACAGTAGTGTTTTCCGCAAAATAGCCCCGATTGCGAAAATGACGATTGGGGCTTTTTTGTGGAAAAGCACGTCTAGATTGGCCACGGACACTTTTCTGGAAAAAGTGCTTTTCTGGAAAAGCGTCTTGCCAATCTAGACGCGCTTTTCCGGAAATGCTTTTAACGGAAAACTTTTCTGTTAAAAGCATTTCCGGAAAATCATGCCAGTGTAGACTTAGCCTTGAATTCTCCTCCAGGGATAACCCCAACCTCTTCTGCCACAAGATCATATCTGAAGGAGAAGTGGTTGGATCAGAGCTCTGATTTTGAGGGTCTGTATTGGAGTTGGAGGGAACCAATGGATAAGCGAGTGGGGAGCTTATGAGGACCTGAAACAGGGCAGGGAGTTGGATATGGAAATGAGGGGTCGGAGGGGAGCTAAAAAGCCTTGGAGGGATAATGGGATCAGGGCTGGGAGAGGAGAAGGCTGGGCTGAAGGAAACTGGAGGAAGGTTGAGGGAGAGCTGGATCCAAACAAGAGGCTTTAGAGACACTGAGCAATGTTTCCTCTAATTTTTTTCCATTCATATGTGGAATAAAGTTTATGTGGACCAAGGCATGTGCAGATGTGCACCACCAATATAAACACATGCTGCCAGCTGTGGGTACTCTGCTAATCATTTGGGCATGATTTGAATCTCTCCTGGATGGCTGCCCAAATGCTGTGCCTCTGGACCAGAGAGTCCTGATGACTAGAAGCTGGGGCCAGCTGGGAGTCTGGTGGTGGAGGGCTGGGAACAGAGTCAGTCTGCAGCTGGGAGTAGAGCCAAAGCTTGGCTGGGAGCTGAGGTGGAGCCTGGCCATGGGGCTGTGAGCTGCCTAGTGGCTGGGGCCAATAGCAGGATCAGCAGCTGTGAGGCTTGTGGTCCTTGGGGAGAGGCCGACAGCAGAAGGGCTGGAATTGACGTAGCCTGGGAGAGTGCTGTATCAGGGAGGTCCAACCTGTATTAAGTTAAAAGAACTTTAAGGTTGTAAAGTGATGCCCTCCAAATTCCAGAGTTAAGGGTGCCCATGCAACCTTAATGTAGCCTCCTGTGTGTATACATTATGATACAGCCATTAATTACATGATTCCATGATATTTTTCCTCAGTCATGGGAGTTAATCAGCATTGTGCAGTGAATGAGGCTTGCCTGTAGGACCCCTGCCTTGTTTACTGAAAAAGCTAGACTACGTATGGTATAAGATTGCAGGAGGACAAAGGAAACTCCCATGTTTGAGGCAGTTGAATGCCACCCTTGGAAGGTTGAATTCTCTTCAGGACTCTACCAAAGAATCACTAAGGGATGGTAGGCAAATCATGTAAAAGACACTGTTGCGTTGACCACTATGGGTGTGTCTAGACTACATGGCTCCGTCAACAGAGCCATGTAAAGTAGTTTACCTGATATAGTCAATGAAGCGGGGATTTAAATAATCCCCGCTTCATTAAAATAAAAATGGCTGCCGCGCTGTGCCGACAATCAGCTGATCCGGCACAGCGCAGCAGTCTAGACGCGGCGCGGTCGACAAAAGAAGCCTTTGTCGACTGCTCCAGTATGCCTCGTGAAACGAGGTTTATTATTATTTAAATCCCCGCTTCATTGACTATATCAGGTAAACTACTTTACATGGCTCTGTTGACGGAGCCATGTAGTCTAGACACACCCATAGTGGTCAACGCAACAGTGTCTTTTACATGATTTGCCTACCATCCCTTAGTGATTCTTTGGTAGAGTCCTGAAGAGAATTCAACCTTCCAAGGGTGGCATTCAACTGCCTCAAACATGGGAGTTTCCTTTGTCCTCCTGCAATCTTATACCATCCTGTTTCCTGGGTGCCCAACAGGAGACACTTTAGAGCCGGGTTTGTAGAAGTTTTAAGTGCTCATGTTTGCCACATGAGTCAAAGTAAGCTGTGGTTTGAATATATGTGCAATGGGACTCGTGTTGTGGAAGCCCTGACTTTTCAGCTTCACTAACTTTGCAGCCTCTGCAGAAATGCTCTCTAGGAACCCCACCAAGTACGCACACATTCGTCGCTGGTTCTGTACCAAATATGGAAGCAAATTTGTTCAAGTGGCTAAACAATGCATGGGAACCTACCTACTGGCTGGATAGCCATCATTCTAAGTTAACAGGGTACTGAACTTTAATCAGTTAATTATGAGTGGCAGGAAATAGACTGTATAGATTTATATTGGGATTAGTGAGTGACATATGCATCTATTAAATAGGTTTCAGTTTAAAAATATTTTGCTGTGCATGCTAAATATATTTTTGTGTTCTTTTGGTATATTTGTGTTTTAAATGTTTCATCCTTGTCCTTCCCCCCTCCTGCAGTTGTGGCATTTTTTTTTTTTGTATGAAGAGTTTTATTTTTTCCTTAATCATTTTGTTCTTTTCCTTTGCATGTTTCTGGTTGTCTTGGAAGGATGATAAAAACTCCAGGTAGAAGATAAATTAAAGAATCAGAAGAAATTTGAGTGTACACAAAAGAAACAAGGAAGACTCCTGGAGCAGAATCTAGAGTACAAGTTCTGGTATGAAACTAGAAATATTTTTGTTGGATTTTAGGACAGTGTCTACTTTGGAAGGGAAACTTGAGCTAATATAGAGCACAATTTGTAAAACAGCTCTCCTTTGTCTACATTTGCCAGGCAGCGTGTTGAAATCATTCTTACTGGAAGGACATTATTTAAATATGATCCTGATTAACATAGTATTGCTTCTATTGAACATATGGCCTATTCCTCTTCAAGTTTGAAGTCATAGGTTGAGTGTCTTGATTCCTTATGTATAGTAATAACATTACCTTCTAACATTAGGTTTTGAATAGGGGTATTTCATTTCGATCAATCAGCTAATCCAGAGTTGATGGAATTTCCATTAACTTCTTGATTAGTCAATAAGGGGTTGGGTGGGGCGCTCGCTATCCAGCTGCGGCTTTGTCTTTTAAATGTAGTAAGAGCCTGGGGCTTGAATCCCCACTCGCCCCAGGTTCCTGCTGTGCTGCCTCTGCCTTTGAAATGTAGCAAGAGCCCCACGGAGTTCTTCCTACATTTAAAAGGCAGAGGCAGAGCAGTCCCCACTGGCGCCATTTCCTGCTGCACCTTTGCCTTCCCTGCCATCCCTCCCCTCCCCCCAGATGGTGCTAAGGGGAACCAGCTTTTAAGCTGGCTTCCCCCTGCACTGGCTCCTGCTCCTGCCCCCTTACTGCCTCTGATACAGAGGCAGCAAGGTGGGGAGAAGCAACTAGTTGAGTAGTGATTTGACCACCCGATAAGCCCTATGATTTTCGGGTAATCAGTTAGTCGACTAGTCGCTTACATCTCTAGTTTTGAAAAGAGATTGTTAGAAATATGGAAAAAATAATTGAAGTCAGTAGTTGCATAACTTTCTCTGAAAATATTATGAGGCACATTACCTTTCAAAAATCAGAGTGTATTGCAATATGCAGTCTCCACAATATTGATCAGTTAAATATTGCTATAATTATGTATTCAAAGATAATAGAGAGCACTTGAAAATCATTGCATCTGTTTTTAAGCAAATTTAAGCAACTAAGCAGAGAGTTAAACAATGATATTTATACGCAAATAGGTTTATTTAGGACCTGTTGAATATTGAGTGTTATTTAAAATTATACAAGGGAATTGGGTATTATACATCCAACACTGATCTAGAGGGGACGAGATTTCTCAAAGTGGTCTGCAGATGCACTCTGAAAAAGCTGCTAACTGGCCACTCCCATTTCTTTATTTACCAGCTTTGCAGCCACAGAGTCTCACGGCTCCCATTGGCTACAGTTTGCCGATTGCAGCCAGGGGGCGCCATGGGAAGCAGCAGCCTGGTCCCCGCAGTTCCCCTTAGCTGCAAATGGTGAACGGGAGCCAATGTGAGCCCTGAGGGTGCACATACCATTTTGAGAAACACTGCTCTAGATGTAAAGCCAAAAGGAGGCTGAATTATTTATTTATGACTGAAAAAAAGAACATATTGGCATACTGTTGTAATCTAAATAATCCTATCTGAGTTTCACCTACCAGAGTCTCTGGTCCTGTGCTCCCATTGAAATCACTGATGAAATTTACACTGAATTAAGGCCGTGGTTCCCAACATGTTTTATACCAGGGACTAACAAACCCATTCACAAACTTTTGGCAAACTGGTAACATTTTATTTACATATTTGCATATTCATTATGCAAATGAATATTTAAATATGCAAATAAAATGTTACCGGTCTGCCAAACCTCATACTCCCCTGCCCTGACTCCTGCCCCCCAGCCCTTTGCCCCAGTCCCCTCATACTTTCCAACCCCGACTCCTGCACCCCCCCATATACCCAGCCTCTTGCCCTGAGCCCCCCTTATATTTCATAGTGTAAGTAATTTATGTTATTTTCACCCCTCCAGCTGAGTATCTCATAAGCAGGGCCATTAGTGGCAACAGTACAGTGGACCAGAGCAGGGAGAGGCTCCAACTACCTTGGCAAGGTGGATTCTGTGTGGTCAGGCTCATGCAGGTGCCCAGCCTGGGAGCACACGTAAAAGGGAAGTTCCCCACAGAAGCACTTACCGCCGCCAGTCTGGCCACAGCCAGGCCAGACACAGGGTAGCTCCCCATCCTGGGTGTCACAGTGCCCCTACCTCTTAGATCCCCCTGCCCTCATAGCCCTCCAATGTCTCCATGCCTGTCTCATCCCTCTCACTTAGCCCTGCTGCTACCTCCCAGCTGCCAGATGAGTGCAGAGCACTTCTCTGCATGGCAGGAGGGCAGCATGGCGCCCACAGCATGCTGGGCCCCTGCTGAGCAGAGCTGCAGCACTTGACTGAGGCCAAGCACCATCTGAAGCCTGGCTGCCACAGTGCTCAGCTGAGGCCAAGGGCCGCGTGGCCCCTGCTGAGCGCTGCACCAGCTGGGCTCGACGCAGCGTTTAGCCCCAGCCAAGCGCTGCAGCTGCCTATCACGTGGTCCCACCAGCAAGGCCGCTGGAGCTGTAGCCAGGTCCATGGTGTGGCTGCCCCAGTAGGACTGGCAGTTGGGAACCGCTGAATTAGGGACCAAAGTTTGCTTTGTTATAGCAATGTTGGGAAAATATGTAGATTTAAATGCTCTATACCTGTGAACCTGAAATCAGCAAGAAAGGGGGGCATTACTGGTGAAATTGGGTTTTGTCATAAGTATGTAAGACATACTAAGGAAAGTTTAGACTCACTAAAGGGATTTAGCAACGCTGTAATGAGAAAAAGGACATTTTTATGACTTATTGTTGTTTCCATAACTTCACTGTTTAAAGTGTAAGACTAGCCCCCTTTGCATTTCAAGTTGTCTGCTAGAGTCAGTCACTCCTCATTCAGGGTATGTCTACACTACAAAGTTAATTCAAGCTAACAGCCGTTAGTACGAACTAACATTCATAGGCGCTACACAGGCAAACCGCTGGTTCGAACTTAATTCGAACTAGCGGAGCACTTAATTCGAACTAGGTAAACCTCATTCTACGAGGACTAACGCCTAGTTCGAATTAACTAGTTCGAATTAAGGGCTGTGTAGCCACTTAATTCGAACTAGTGGGAGGCTAGCCCTTCCCCGCTTGCCCTGGTGGCCACTCTGGGCACCACCAGGGAAACTCGTTTGCCCCCCTCCCGGCCCTGGAGCCCTTAAAGGGGCGCGGTCTGGCTATGGTGCCCGTGCCAGGTGCAAGCCTGCCAGCACTCAGCCAACAGACCCTGCACCTGGCACGGCACGAACCAGCCACCCGCCGCCACCC